TTTTAAAACATTTTATAAGCCGTATAGCAGTCCTGGATGCTGCATTAGAGCACAACTGCTCATTTAGGGCACCTTTACCATGTTGCGCTCTAATGAGCAACATCGGTTCTGGTATCCATATCTTGCTTCTTAGAGGAATAGCTCAGACAAAAATGAACATTTGCTGAAAATCTACTCACCCTCCGGCCATCCAAGATGTAGATGAGTTTGTTTCTTCATGGGAACAGATTTGGAGAAATTTAGCATTACATCACTTGCTCACCAATGGATCTGAATGGGTGCCGTCAGAATGAGAGTCCAAACAGCTGATAAAAACATCACAAGCAACCCACACCAGTACATCAGTTAATGTCTTGTGAACCAAAAACCTGCATGTTTGTAAGAAACAATGAAGTGTAAATAAAGCTTTAATAGCAGAAAATGTGTAGAGATTCTAAATAAAGTACAATTCCGCTACTAATTGCTATGAAGTGCCTCAAACAAAACTGAGTATCTTTCAAAAATTCGATGCCACTAACCTGGCAAATCCTGTGATTAGGTCTTCATCAAAAGCATTCAGTGCATCAACCTGGTTTAAGATGAACTGATTGAAATCACCTGTATCACTTTACTCACTCTGTATAAAATCCGACTACAATGCAAGAGATCAAAAAGTGCTTTCCGGTTTTGTGTGACAGTCATCAGGTGGTTAGTGAATGTACTGTATTTTACGGTCACTTTTCTATCCTCTCATCTTCCTGTTCTACCACAACTTGTTAGTATGAATTTGTGTGGATATGTGAGTATCTGTGACAGCCGTCACCTGTGTGCTGAGCCTTACGTAACTCGGGTCTCAAAGTGATGAGCTGAGCAGGATTACATGAAGGATTTCCTGTGACTGAGACGATTCTCATCTCGTTTGTCTCACGCACGTCTGTGAGACACAGAGACAGGCGATGACACAGCTTTTTAACCCTTGCGTTGAGTTCTGGTCACTTTGATCTTTCCTTTTTCCTGAAAATGCTATTTACAAGTTATCACATTGGACTAAGTTGTGCTAAGTTATTGCATTGGACTTGCTAACAACTTTTTGTTTTTTTGTGATAATGTTTGTATTTTGGGGGATTTTTTTCCTCCATCTTGTTGCACTTGTAGTATTTCTAGTCAAAAATTACTGGCCTACAAAAAGTCTTGTTATGCTCCAATATTACCACATATTGGATTCAGTCTTTTTTTTTTTTTTTTAAATAACTTGTGATTGATTGAACTAATTGATCATAGGCCTCATTGATCTGAGGTCATGCAATTCAGTTTTTGAGTGAAAATTGCCAAAATGATCCACAAATAATGCTTTTTTTTTTCACAGGTAAGCTCAGGCCTATGACCAATCAGTTCCAAAATGAAATACAAAACCTGTGCTAATTGAGAGAAAACAAGTTGACAAAAAGATAATATAAGATAAGATAAAGATAACCAATAATATAACATAATGAGAGATTTATGAGCAATTTTTGAAAGGCTGGACATTTCAAGGCGAGAACACCAAATTAGGGAAAGGATTTTTATAACAGCACAAGGGTTAAAGCAATAAATCCCATGTTTTTTAGAGACAGAACTATTAGATGTGTTAGATTATTTATTAGACCTTAAAAATTAACATCAGATAAAAGCAGTTACCTTTAAACACAACATTCTCATTTCTGTTCAATAGTTAAAATTACAAAACTGTTGAACTGATATATCTTAAATACATTCATATCCCATATTTTCAATACAACTATTTAAAAAAAAATTTTTTTGACACCCATGAAGATGTTGCTCTTTTGGACACATTATGCCATTCTGTTATTTTTTCTATTATTTAAAGTTGTAGCATTGACTGCATTCTATTTCAGAACTAATCAGGATTCTGTTGTTCACACTGACTCTGGATGCTTTGAATAAATCTTCAACATATCAGCTGCTAAGCAGAACAGAAGGCCGTTGAGTCTGTTGGTATAATTTTCTGCTAGATTGCACAGTTATAATTACTCTCGAGATCAGCTGTACTGATGAGAGTATATGAGTATTGATCCGTCCACTGATAGTCATCACAACAAACACACACAGAATATGAAATAATTACCGTAAAACAACCAACGTGATAATTGAGTTTTCTCCAACCCATAGTTAACCCACAGGACGGACAACAAAGGAAATGTTTAACAGATTGTCTGAGCTGCTCTTTCTATTAAAATAATGACAGGATTTTTGGAGGGAACTAACAATTTAACAAAGACTTTTGCAAAACATACATTTTAAATAATTTCAAAAATGTGTTAAATTATTTATTAATTAACATTTTTTAAAAATTCAAATAAATGTAAACTTTAGAATCTCTCACATTAGAGTGTATATATAGTATTTTAGTTTTTATTAATATTTTGTTATAAATTTGACATTTTATTTATTTAAAAATTTTATTTATTAATATATATACACGCATATAATTCTTATATTTTCTGTTGTCACTTTAATAAAAGTTTGTCATTTATATTGTGTTTTTGCCATTTTTATTTGTCTATATAGTTTTATTCATTTTATTTCAGCTTTAGTTATTTTAGTACATCAAGTTAAACTAAATGAAAATGAGAGATGTTGCCTTGGCAACTAGCTGAAATAAAAAAAATATATATATAAAAAAAACTTAAACTTATTGTATTTCAGTTAAAATTTATTTCAATTTATTTTATTTTATTAATTTTCATGGTTTGTTTTTAGTCAACTATAATAACTCTGCTATGAAATTTAGGCTACGTCCACACGAAGCCAGAGCTTTCCCTATCCGATCTTTTTTCCCACCTTGTCTCAAGAAATATCTGCGTCCACACGAAACCACGAAACCGACACAAAACGATGTAGTATACATGCCAGACC